TCCCGTCGACCCCTGGTGAAGAAGACACCAAAAATGATACACCTCATGCTGAGCCCTTATTCCCGGATTCACAGGACCCGTGGGATGTCGCAGTGTCTGAGAACCTTGCCGCCCCAAAAACACCACGTGAGTTGGAGGGGGAAGCTGCTCCTGAACCACAACTTCAAGGTACTGAACCGCAAGGTACAGGGGCTGGCAATGGTGGGCTTCCTGAACAAGAAGTCTGCCCTTTGGACACAGAGCCTCCAAAAGAGCTGGCAGAGGACACAGAGCCCCCAAAAGAGCCGGAGCCTGCAAAAGAGTCAGGCACAGAGCCTGCAAAAGAGCCGGACACAGAGCCTGCAAAAGAGCCGGACACAGAGCCTCCAAAAGAGCCTACCTCAACTGACAGCCCAGCTTCCGTCCAAACCGTGCCTGATACAGCCCTTGCTCTGGCCGCCTCAGCCAACACAGTGACTCAGGTGCCGCCCGCCCAACTGACCCCCACCCAAGTTTGCTCGAGTGGTGCACTGGGGGGGGGCCAAGAGAGTGGCAGCCAGCCGGAGCCAAGTGAAGCTGCAATTGACAGAAGGTTGCGGCGGCTTTTGCAACCAACCGCCCGGCAGGGCCACCGACTGGCAGAAAACATTAGGGAAATGTGGGACACCAACAAAGGCCAACTCTTCAAGATGTTCAAAGCTTGCGGCAACGATGCGGACAGGGCTTGCCAAGCGTGATTGAACTTGAGTGGGAAGGGCTAACGTTCTGAACCTTGCCTAGTTTGCCCGAGAAATGCATCCCTTGTCCCTGCAGGAGAAGTTCTTGAAGCGATACAGCATCAAAACCCAGAAGGCCAAGGAAACTGAGATCGGTGTCGAGTTTGCCTTCCTAAGCGTCAAGGATATGGAAGATGACGGAAAAGATGCGTGCCCTACATACAATGGTTTCGTGGTTGTACACGTACTAGAATGGAAGCATGGTGACAGCCACGCAATACAAACTCCAGCTCAATGGATCTAAGGGACTATATTCAGGAGGTTGTGCGGCAGGCTGAGCTTGACCCTTCCCGCCTCATCAGGCCACCCGAGATTGTCACAGCCAATTCTGCTACATTAATGCATGGGCATCAATCCCTGAATATACGCTTGGTCGCGATCCAGGAAGAACAAATACAAGAACGAGCTGAAGTATTACGTCGAATTGAAAGAGCACGGGCATCACAAGCGCCACGCCTGAAGTAAATTAGGGTTGATTGAATATTCTCCGTAGCCTGCCTGCTAGTTCTGCCCCAAACTACGCCGCCCACCCGCATCCTGACAAGGCGCACTGCTCGGGCAACTCTTGATGAGCAGCAGGATATCGAAATGGAAGGCGACCTTGACATCGAGATGGACTTCGGAGCCCAGATGCAGGACGAAGGAGCCCGCTGGCACACAATTCACTGTTCGATCGATCGTGAGCAATGAGGAAAAACCCCTGATTTACAGCGATTCCTCAATCTTAAGGACGATCAGCCAGTTCCATCACTTCCCTAATTGTGCGGTTTTCTGACATCAGCCAGCTTGGCTGTTGGGGGTTCTCTTCATGCGCCCAATCAAGCACGACGTCTGAGTTAAATGGGCTTAGGATCCCGGACCCCTCTTTTCCAAGAGAAAAGGGGCCACACGCCCAGCACCGCCAATAAAAAGCCGATCGAGCCACCACCCCCCGCCCTCAAACCATGTCACAGCTTGTCTCCTCAATGTGTGGTCCAATTGGGTGGATGCTGGTTTAACTCGTGGGGATCGAACCCTGAACGCTCTCAAGGGAGCTGGCGCGCACGAGTCCTCTGCGGGCAGGCCATGCTGCAGACTCACAAGCCAAGAGCCAGCCGCGCCAGACCGCGAATAACACGGAGACTGAGGTCATGAAGCTTCTAAAGCGTATGGGCTACCCCGAGACGCAGGAACCTGCCCACACCATATCAGCCCTCCCAAAGGCGATCGCAAGTGCCATGAAGAGGATTGCCAAATTGGAAACTTTGTCTACGGATTTGGCCCCAACTACAAGGACCAGTGATTTGGCCGCCAAGAGCCTTGTATGAACTGCGTTGCCTCACACGCCTATATAACCTTTGGCACGCACATATGAAGAAGCACTTTCATCTAAGGATGGCTGGAAAACTTGAAGAGACCCGCAAAGAATTGAATGCTTCCCTTGATGAGCTTCAGACTCTGCACTCCACTTGCGTCCTTCACGGAGTTACTCCCGAGCACCTTGCTAGCGCTGCGTGTTCTTTTACGGGGGGCAACTTCAATCTCCGCGTAGCCCAGGCAAGAAGACAAGGTAATGATCCTCTATCAGAAGTGCAAGGTGCAGCGGTCGCCTGAGATTTGATTTTTGGTCAGTTTCACTTGGGAAATGGAACTGGTTTGAAGCCTAGCTTGAGGATGGTGCAATCCTTTGATTTGGAGAATCGCGCCAGGACATTTAATGACAAGTTCGTTCCTTTTGCCTGCCAGTGCTCCATAACGCCCCTGCGCAGGATGATCATGACGAAAGCTAAAGCCAAGAGCAGGCCCAAGGCAATGCCAGGGACCGCTAGGCCAAAGCCAAAGGCTAAGGCTGCGGCCACAGCTGACTCACACGACGAGGGCCCCAATCCTGATGCGTGCCGAAAGCGGGAGGCTTCAAAAGCCGCGAAAGCCAAGGCTGCCAAGCGGGCAAAGTAGATTGATTAGATCGATGTAGGAGCCCAAGTTTTGCAGTTTAAAGCCCAACAGTAGGCTGAGGCAGCACTTGCGTGCAATGCGACTGGTGCATTCGGCAGGTTAGAGCTGGCTCTTAGCAGCGCTGATTGGAACAAACCTCGGCAAAAATGAGAGAGTTTAAGTGCGTGGATCGCTGCACAATTCAACGCCCCTTGATTTGTGGATCGGATAGTGTTCGCCACTGGCCTGCCTGGGAGGTATCTCATCTTCCAGCATCGACGTGCTTGAGCACTTGGCGGAAAACGTGGCTGATGGCGCCAGGGTCTAAGAATGTGGGCGGGTTGATTCTGGGTACGCTGCCACCCCAAGGCCCCGGCCTATCATGTTGGCATCGTTTCACGGGCGCTTCAACCTGTGGCACGTGACGCGGTGATAGATGAGTCTGCGAAAGTGGCTCCAACCCATGGGGAGCGGGATGCCCATAGGGTGTTTGGTTACTTCAACCTTGCCCTCAGGGTTCCGACGAGCAACATGCAAGTTGTGAACGAGAAGGGGGACGTCACAAATGTTCCGCATCTCAAGGTTCATGACTATATGGCCTACCTTCTGAAACACAGCCCGAAGGTTTTGCTTGGCGGACTCAGCATCGGCAGTGAAAGTCGGAAGTTACTGCGCAAATTCTGGACTGCGTTTCAACATTCAGAGCCTGGGCATGTGCTTTTCCATGATTACCCAAACCCTGAAGAATGGGAAAGGGTGATTCCACTTTCGCTTCACGGGGACAAGGGGAGAACCCTGCGAAAAACCCCAGTTTTGGTGCTTTCGTTTGAGACAGCTTTTGGGCTGCCGCACCACATGCTCAAATCAGCTCGGGACTCCCGGACAAGGCGGAACCCAATGCCCCATAGCAAACTTGGCCTTTCATGCACCCAACGGGCGAAGCTGAAGAATTCCCGGCATTTGCCCAACATGGATTTCCACGAGTGCCCCAAGAGACGAAAGTCCAACGAGGGCACCTCTATTCCCATGGTAGACGTTCCACACAATGGTAGGGGCAACAGTTATTTGTCTCACTTCATGCACAGCGTTGTGCCCCACGCAGTCTTTGACGAGTTCCCCACCTTGATCCCTAGCTTGCTACAGGACATTGCGGACAGCCTAAAGGCCTTGTACCGTGATGGGTTGGCAAGTCGAGGAGAAACGTACCGAGTTGGGTTTATAGGTATGAAAGGAGATGCCGAATGGCATGTTGACTGTGGCAACTTCAGCCGCTCGTTCAGAAATAGTGGAACGGCCAATTTCTTGAAATTCTGCCCCGAATGCAGCTGTGGTTCTGAAGAATACCCGCTGGCCGACCTGCGGGAGCCGCCTAGCTGGCCGGAGTCACTTTACAGCAGCCCGCCTTGGCTGGCGCATGAGGTGCCTGCTTTGGCAAGCGTGCCGTTCTACCATCCTGAAGGAGTGGAGTGTGTCAGGCTCTTCCGTCGGGATATGTTCCATACTCTGAAACATGGGTTCCTTCGCGACCATATCGGTTCTAGCTTGATTTTGATGTGCAACAGGGGCTACTTTGATTGGGACCCGGAAGCGAGCGTCTCAATAGAAGACAGGATGAACCGAGCATTTGGAGTCTTCAAGCTTTGGGCGCAAGCTGAGCAGAAGTCGCCAAAAGTTCGTCAGTTCACTCGCTTGAATATGCACTACCCCAATTCTATGTCCCATGCCTGGCTGAAGTGTCACGGCGGCGATGTGCCTATGTTGCTGGATTTCCTTGTCTTTCAGGTCAAGTGTGCCATCAAGAAGCCCAAGAGCCACAATGATTTGAGGCCCCTTGGGGCAATTTTGCAAGCTACAACTGGGGCTTTGGATTTTCTTGGAATACAGTATTCCCATGGCATTGGCTTGCCAAAGGAGTGTGCAATGCTCATGGTTGTGGCTGGTTTTCAGCTGCTCCGGGGCTATATTTGGTTGGCTGTTCACTGCATGGACTCCAACACGGGAGGTTACTCCTTGCGACCAAAGGTCCATTATTTCCACCACCAGCTTTGGGAAATGCAAGGCGCCTTAAACAGGGGCGCTCAAGTTGTAATCAACCCAATCCTGTTCAACTGCGAGGGGTGTGAGGACTATATTGGCCGGTGTAGCTTGCTGTCACGAAGAGTTTCACCGAGGCTTTGCTCACAACGAGTTGTGCAAAGGAACTTGATCAAGATGAAGTGCCTATTGAAACGCTGTGGGCTTGTCGAAGGAGACTGAAACCCCAAAGTCTTTTGATTTCCTCATGTACTCAACAAAACCTGACAGGCCCGCTTTCTTTCTTGGCTACCCGGCATGGCCAGCTTCGTCACGCGGGCGAAAAGGACGTGCAGGGTGAGCCAGAATTGGCCCACGGCGTTTTTCCTAAACAACGCCTTTTTCCCAAAACAACGACCAGAATACACTTAGAAAAGCTCGAGGGCATTTTTTTTGCATATACGGGCTTCGCAGGTACATGTTTCTGGGTAGACCATTTTAGTACCAGGTTTTGATTGCGACTCACCTGTAGTCTCCATGAACCTTAAAAAGATGGGGTCATGGTCACGGACCCCTTTTTTAAGGGTCACGGAGACTCTAGGAATGGTTTTGATTCTGGTTTCCATTGGCCCTCTGTTCATCTAACCATCAGAACTTCTGGTTGGAAACAGATCTGGTTTTTGAAAAGAACGATGGTTGAAAACGAATGGACAAGGAATCAACCCCTAGAATACTGTCAAACAAAAACCACTCCAGGCACCAGTGAGGTGATTTCGCATGGAATCAACCCAACGAGATTTCTGGTTTCCATTGCGATCTCTGGACATTTCGCCATGGAAAACGCGGACTTACTTCGATCTGGGCCTTTGAGGCCTGGCGACCCTGCAGATTCGGGACGTGGAGCTTCTCGCCGCCGCCGGCCAGGAGGCGCAGTGCTGGCGGGGTAAAACCGCCCCCCAAAGAGTGGGATCCATGGCCCAAAAGGATCGATGTCTCCTCTAGCAATGGGTCCAATCGGTCCCCCAGCGATTGGTGCCAACTTTTAGCCGTTTCTTTTTTGGTTCTTTCCGTTCATTTGTAGAGTAACTCTGCTCAGTCCCCTGAGTTCCTGCGAACATTTAAACTTTTAGTGGCAAGCAACATGTTTGGGAGCCTTTTTTGGCCAACCCACTTAGGAAGTGAACACGACTAGAATTCATGTTGCAGTACCCAAACCCCCATTCTAAATCATTTAGCCCCTTGTATATGGTTCAGGCTTCCCCCACTGACCCTATAGGGAACGCACAGAAGCCATCAGTAAAACCCAAAGATATGCCGAACCCTGGTTACCTACTATAGTGGTAACTGGGTTCCATTGGGTTCCGCTGACCTTGAAACATCGAAAACCCCGGGGCCGTGGCGGCCTCGCTTCCGTCAGGTGGATGCCAAAGTGCAGCTCTTCACGCCCCAGGGCCTCGTATGTACGGGCCCCAAGCCGCGCAACCTGTTGGTGCGATAGCTAGGGAATGCGTTGGACTGATCCCAGGGGTTGGTCCCCTTAAAGGAAACCAGTAGTCAGATGGTTTATAGGGTTCATTCCTTCATTCCCTGAGCACCAGCAAGGAAATTTGAGTGGTTAACCATAGCTGCTGGCTTGCTTGCCTGGGATAAAACTTGCAGAAGTGGTGAGTTGGCCTCAAGGATACTAACCACTCACTGAACTCGGTCGTAAAGGTGTGTCTTTTTTGAGGGGACCCCTTTTTTGTAGGTCTAAAAGGGATGCCCAAAAACTTCCACCAGTTTGGGGGATTTTCGGGGTCCCCTAAAAAGGACGCCCATATGACCACATGAGCTACAAATTGTAGTAGGGAACCATCTCAATCAAAAGTCTGGCCACAAATCCTCACCGTGATATCTGCCAGAGAGTTCCCGTTAAAATTCAAACCCATAGCTACCACTGAAAAGGTACATAGACGGGATATGGAGACATCCTGCCTCCCATTTGTTCAACAGGAGGTCGATTTCTCCTCGGCGTCCGGCCTCACTCTCTTACAGTTGTGTGAGGGACCGGCAAATTCAATTTATGTGTCCTCCGAATTCGGCGATTGCAGCGTGCGGTTTTGGGATGGGGTGTGCGGCCTCACCCGTGAATGTTTCTTTTGTAGGAGTTCCCCTTCTTTCAAGTCGCCGATTTATTCAGATTCGCATCTCTGAAGCGAATCGACCTGATCCGACCTTTTGGCTTTGACCTTTTGGTTTTCCGGTTTTGCTCAATGGAAACGTCAAGGTCGCAACAGATCACCTTCCTTTCTCAGGTCCCAAAGGAACTATGAAGTGCCATGGGGTCTTGGGTCTGCGGCAACCCTGGCGACCTATGAACTTTCAATGGCGGACACTAGCATCTTTGAAAAGCTGTTTTTGGAAGTGGGGTTGATAGACACGGGACAAAGCAAGCAGTCGTTGATTGGACTAGATCCTCACGTATTAAATGATGTCCAAACGGTCCACAAATGAAAGTCATACGCCAGTTGAGGTCTGGCAGCGAAGAAAGGAAGCCCAAAAACTTGGAGTTCGGCTGCTCTGTTGAAAGGTAGTCCTCATTCCTTCGGTCTTGTCTTGGCTTCCCAGGGATGGATTAGGATTGCACCGATGATGTTGAACCCAGAAAACGAGCATGGAAATCTGGGAAGCATGTTCCCTTTTTTTCCCATGGACATACACTGGAAGTCTGGGATTACACTTTTTTCCCAACAGCTCAAAGCTATGGGGTTTCTTCCCAACTAAGCTTTGGGTTCATTTGGGGCAGCTTTCAGGGAGGGTTCCAAACGGTTCCAGAGGTTTGGGACTGTCGGGGATACCACCAAGATTTTCTTTGTTTTTTTTCCCCCGCGGGAGGGGGGGATACCACCAAGGTGCGTTTTAAGGAAATAGACCTCAGCTCGTTTGAGTTAGGTGGGCCTGGGACTCGGAGTTAGGTTCAGCACCCATCCTGTTTGGTGAGGCATCTACAGGCGGACCTCGCCCTTTGGGTCACAGGTAAAATGTGAGAGGCGAACAGCGGTCAGCACAAAGGGTTTTTTACGTCGATCCTCTACAGCTGTTACAAGGGACCCTGTTCCCATGACCCGAGGCCCTGATTTGTTCAGGTGTTCGAACGAATCTGAAGCGGGGAACCTTAAGCTGCCCTGAGAATCTTCGGATCCAACCGTAGTCTTTAACTCTCTCCCTAAGTTCACGCCAGACCTTTTTAGTGGTCAACAAAAACTCTTTCTGGCCAATCCACTCAGGAAGCGAGTCAAGGGTGGCCCAAAAAAGGATGTGGGTGTGGCTCAAACGTTTTCACGAGGCAGGGCCACAGGATTTTGAGGGTTTCTGACATGGATTTCACCGCCAACCGATTTTTTTGAGCCACACCCCAAAACCCGAAACCTCAGCCATAGGCACCACCTGGGCCTTCGCGAGCCTGCGACTGGAGGCAGTCTTTCTCGACAAGGCGACTTCGCGAAGCTGATTCATATGGTTTTCCTGCCATCGGGAGATTCACTGCAGGGGGCCAGGTTAGCTTAAAGCTTAAGCGCCCATGTCGGTGAAGGCCGAAGCCGGCTACGGCCAAGTTTGCGGACCAAAAAACAGATGCGAAATCCATTTCGCGCCACTTAGCAAGAGGTTTACCCATGCAGATTCCCCACAATTCACAGGGATTTCTCACGTTTCCATCCCAACTGGTGCAGGATGCAAGGAACCTAAATACCAACAAATGGTTTCAACCATGGATTCAACCATGGTTGGTTGATTGGTTGGTTGGTTGGTTGGTTGGTTGGTTGGTTGGTTGGTTTGCAGTCCCTATGACAGCTTGTGGGCACAAGCAAAAGCGGCAACGACACCGCCGTGAAAGGGCAAGTGCAGGTGGGGCCCATGGTGGCTTACCCATGCTTATCCCACAATTCATGGTTTTTCAGGTTTCATCCATCTTAACAGGTGCAGGGTTTTTGTCCATCCCTACCGTGGATGGTTGCAAAGTCCATTTCGCACCACCTTTCAGAAACCCTGATTTCTGATGATTCCCCAGTAAATACTTCCGCAGTAGGATACCCTCCCTGCAGATTCACATGGAACCCAAAGAAAGGCGTCCCCCAAGTTTGTTCTCCACAAATGGGCGTTCTTTGGGTTCCATGTCAATTTGGATGAGAGCACTCCAGGTCGTTGTGTCGAATCGCCCCGTCAGACATTGGCAAACCAATTATGTTTGCATGACAGCGAGTCTTTCCACTGGATAAATCCCACCCAAAACCAAAAGCACGCAATTCGAGACAGCCAACAAACAAAACTAACAGAATCAATAACACCAAAGCACATTACTCTTGAAGTCGTGGCACGGTGAGCGACTACTTCTAGAAATATTGTCTCAGTCTTTTGTTTGGTTCTTTGGTTTTGTGGTTGTTGGTTCTCAAATACTAAACAACTACAATTTGCATAGTAGTCAGGAACCACGGCAAACTGCACTTTTGACTGAGTCCCCGATTTATTCTTCGGGTCATGGAGCTCACTTCCCGAGTTTTCGGACTAGTTTTTTTGTCGAGACCAGTTTAGTGGTAAACAACAAGTTCATGTTTTTCGGGGCAACCCACTCAGGAAGAGACTGGGACTCCACCTAGATCCCCCACGACCCCCACAAAAAGGGGCCGCAACCCCTGTATTTTGGGCAATGACCCCCGAAGTCCACTACTGGTTATTTCGCCTTGTTGGTTTTGAAGGGAATCGATTTCACCAATGGACACATGTTTTTTGTCGATTTTTCCCAGTGGACGAAAAGGCAAGTGGAAGGGATGACTGCAGTCAGGCTGTGGCGCGGCTGCAAGAGTTCCAGCTGGAGCCCAAGGGCTGCGCCATGCTCTTGTGGTCCCTGGCCACGCTGCGGAAGGACTGCGAGTGTCTCGGCAAGCCGTGAGGTTCGGGGTTTCCTTAACTTCCATTTGGTGAAAATAATATTCTATATTTTCCCCTGTTGGTTTTCAGTGGAATCTATCACTATTGAAAGCATTTGCTTTCTTTTTAAGAAAAACAAATCTAGGGGACTTAAGCAAATGGAGGATTGAAACCAGTCCAGGAAGAATCCTCAAACACCAGCCCCTTGGGCCAGTCAAGCACCAGAGGGGTGAATCCTGAAAAATCACTGTCCCTTTGGGGCAAGTGAGCCAAACCCTCGGACCTAAACAGACAGCCTTTTGAGGCCCACGTTTCTTGGGGTGAACTCACTTCCTGAGTTCCTGGACTTTATATGTTCCGGGAAGATCATTTTAGTTGCAACAAAGACATCGGACTTTTTTGGGCCAATCCACTCAGGAAGTGAGTCGAGGCCCCCAGAATTCGCATGTTGTTGCACGGCAACCGTGAAGATGACCAAACCACACTCTGGGGCAACACGGGGCCACTATTGCACACATGACTCTCCTATGGGCGGCTCGTCTTTGTTGAGGGACCTCTATGTCTGTTGTCCCAATTTAAAACCAACAGAAACACCACAACACCGCCACTTTCAGGCTTTCAGGTCCCCCCAAAAATGACACACCCATATGAACATGACTGAATTTGGTTTTAAAGTACCCCACAAGCCCACCAACGCTATTTAGCCCCTTGTAATGCCGTCGGCAGCCTTGCTCTGCTCTCCGGAAATGTCAGGGTTACTCCGAGCCGTTCCTGCATCTCCGTGCTCCGTGTGGACTTCCCATTTGGGATCTGAGCCCAACGACATTCGGCTGAGGTCAAAGAGGTCCTCTGTGTTTCTTTTCCAGCGACAAACTTAAAATAACTTTCTACCCTAGCAGCCCTGGTTTGTGGATTCGGTGCGACAGCACGCCAAACAAACTATGCGCAAGTCCCTCGTTTCTTGCCCGGGATTTCCGGGTGTAGGGTTAGGGGTCAAACCATGTTGGATTCACCACCAAAATTCCCCAAACGTCCTGGGCTTGGCACGGAGAACCCAGATTTTCTCAGACTCCATCAGGACTGTTGGGGTTTTAAGGGCTTAAAACCCAGGACCCGGCGTCAATTCAAATTGGGTTCCAATGAGCTTGCGATGGCGCTGGGGATTCCGGGAGGTGCTGCATCCACGTGGCTCTCTGTGCGGGAGCGGGGAAGTAAATTTTTCGCCGGCCTGCCAGTTGCCCCCACTGCCTCTAGCCATCCCTGCCGCGCGTTCTGGCAAGCTTCTGAAAAGCCAGTCATGTTTGCGGGCGTGTCACATGGGTTTTAACCACGGTTTGCTTCTAGCTGGGTGTGTGTGTGTGCTTCTGTGAGTGCGTGTGTCTGTGAGTGCGTGTGTGTGTGTGTGGGATTTTTAGGGTACTTCCCCAGTTGATGGGTTGTTTTAAAGCGACACCAAAAGGAATGGCCCACCATTTCACAGCTTCCCCTCTCCACCCAGCTCAGAGGTTGGCAGTGCCTCAGGTGAGGTTTCTGTTGCATGAGGTCTGGTTGGCAGAGAACCCGCTGGGCTGCAGGGCTGTTTTTTTGGGGGGGTGTTGGGAGGTCCGAGAAAATTTGGTTCAGCTTGCGATTTGCAGGTGGCCTGGGGGATTGGAAAATAGCTTGCGATTGGTCTAGTAACTAGTACTGCTTTTGTGTTTCTTAGGATTGGTTTACTCTATTGGTGGGAGACTGAATGTTGATACTTGTGTGGCTTTCACGCAAGCTGCAATAAATGTTTGCGGCTCGAATGTCGGACTCAAACAAATCGTTTGTTGTAATTTTGGTGATGAGCGAAGGTCGCGGGCTACATCCCTGCCTGTCTTTAGAAACTGTTGGAGCCCAAAACTGCTTTTGCACGTCCAGGAAGAAACCATACCTCACCATGCCCCCCAACAAAAAGGCCCTGCCCTCCCCTTCCTTTTTTGTAGCTGAGGCTTTTCTACCATCACCTGGCCGATGCGGTGATCCTGCCACTTGCTTTTCAAGAGACTGGCTGGGTTGTGGGATGTCAAAGGATGTTTTTACCAAACGACTACCAAACGACCCCCGCCCATTCTTTTGGAATAAGTTTTCATTGAAACATAGGATTCCATTGACACATGCGATTCCATTGAAACATAGCATTCCATTGAAACATACGATTCCAAGCCCTTCTCCCCTGACCCTTCTCCCCTCAGCTCCCCCTTTGTTGTTTTCTTAGCCGCCGGTGTAGGATGAAGCCACTTCGGGGGCTCATCAGCTCGCTTCGGAGTTCTCCAGTTCCGGTTTTGGGGAGACTGAGTGGGGTGACGCTTAAAGGGGACGTAGAAGAAGCCCTGTTTAGCCACTACCTCCGTGGCCCATCCTATTTTGCGACTTCAGTCCGTTAGCCAATTGTCCCGTTGCATGAATGATTGAGGCCGGTAGCCGCCTCGCTTGCCGAGCAATTGCTTCCCGCAGATCAGCCAACATCGGGGCCTAGCATGGCCGCATATTGGCCGCCCAACAAAAACTGCTGCCTGGATTAGGACCAGTTGGTAGTTGGGAATTCCCGGTCATAGAGCTTCATCCACAACTGCAGGTTTTTGTCCATCAATCATCACTTTCGGTTCCCTTTCTTTCTCAAGCACCGAGAAGTCTCTGCTCAAGCATGGGGAGCGGTCACTCAACCCTCTTTGAATCTTTCGGTTCCCCTGTAAAACCATAGAAGGCTACCCTCCCACCAAAAATCGGGGCTTCGTTGGGAGCTCATGTCCAGCCAACGTTCCAGGCCTTTTGCGCCGAAGTTCCAGGCCCAGGCGGGGTCGGCCTGTCGGGTTGGGTTTCCGTGTCCCTAAGGGAACTTTGGGGCATTTTGCCAAGGGATGTTAGGACTTGAGAACTTTTTGCCAACTCATGGGTTTTCCGCATTAAACCACTAAAGTGAGACTTTTAGCAGAGCAGAACGCAACCGAAACCTCCTTTCAGTGGCGATCGTTTCAAGGGAAAACCACCAGCAAATTGATCATCTCACTGCGTTGTTCCCTCCTTGAGCTGGGTTTCCTTTGTTTGCGTGCTTCGCATAGGGAATGCCCCATGGACCCCATGCAGAAGATGGGCATGATGGTGTCAACCTTTCGAAGGCAGATATTTTTCGACGCGAACCATGCTTCAGAAGTTAGCCGAGAGGTCCAGAAAGCTGGAGGAATCCCATGCATTTGCTTACGATTTTTGCTCCCCCTGTTGGTTTCAAAGGGAATCTATCACTATATGTTTTTTTGTTTTTGTTTTGTTTTTCTCCCAGGGGGCTTAAGGAAGCTGGGGGAATCAGTCAGATGGAGCTTGAACTGCAAAACTCGAAAGTGATCGAAACAAAAGAACAATCCAGCACTCAGAGCAACTCATCTGATTTTTTTAAACGTTTGTTGCTAGTTTGTTCTTCATGAGTTTAGTCAAGGCCAAGAAGGTTTGGACTTTTGGCCAGTGAAGTCAGGTGCTGTCCGTGGAGCTCTTTTCAGCTCGGTCCAAGCCTGGAGGTCTCCTCCAAAATGAGTTGTTTTAGGACAAACTATGACTTTATAATTAACTCATAGTTTAACTATTTTTCTGAGTTCCTGAGTTGCTAGACACATGTTTAGTTAACACAAAGTGCGGAGTTTTGTTTGGGCCATCCATTCAGGAAGTGGGCTATGGTCCTATGGGCCAGAATCTGAATAGACATGTTGGTTTTTGTAGCGATGTCGAGACGACCCTAAAACCCTCGGCGTTGTGCCCTTGGTTTTGCTATTTGCCTCGCATGTTGCAGCCGGGGTCGAGTTGGGAAAACGCCCAGGGCTTGTGGCCACGTGAGGTGTCCGGACAGAACCTCAGACTTTCGGATGTTTAGGGTTTAGGAGGATTTGATGACTGTCGGGATGTCTATGTGTCCCCCACCCGGTTTGTATTTTGGGCTAGTTGGTTGGCGTGAGTTTCCTTTTGGGTCACGTGTAATTTGCATGGACACTTTCGGCAGGGCTGTGAAACTCGGCCAGGAAGCAGACACAATTTGGGTATTGGGTCGCCGCCGGTTTTAGTCCTTATATTTGGTTACCAGGGGTTTATTTTGGGTGCTTGTGTTTGTCCCACACGCCCCAAATGGAAAGTCACTTAACGGGTTCAGTTGTGCAAGTTGAGCAAATACGTTTTCCAGCTGATTTCGAGCACCTCCCGAACAGCACGTGATCTTTCGATCTATCCCTTAAGAAACCCTGGGTCAACGTTTCGCAACATCTTACATCTTTGCATCCTAAAGTGATGAACAAAGACACTCTCTTTGAATCCTAGGTTTAGGCTTGAACCATGTTGAACCTCTTAGGAGTCATTCATGATGGGCCCTAGGCCCGTAGAAAATAAAACTCATTCGCCAGAACCGAAACACGGTCCACAGTTGGGTTCCAGGTTCTTAGCAGGGCACTAGCTGCAGGTAAACCCCTTTCCAAGTTCAAGAGAACTGGGGAGCCCCGCCCATTTTTTTGGCTCGCCTTGCGAGGTTTTATGTTGGCTCACCGCAGTGTTCAAGGCTTCAGCTTGGGTTTCGGGGGGGACCTTGGAACCTGGGGGGGCTTTGGAGCCCCGCGTCAGGACATCTCGCACTGCCTCTGGGCCTTTGCAACTGCACGCCTTTTGGCCGAGGGGACGGGAATTGGGGCAAATGCGGCTAAGCATCCTAACCTGAGTGTGTGGGTTTTGGGAGGGTACCGGGTACCCTTTTCAGTTTGGTTTGAGGGCGCTACAGGAAAACCCCTCCGCATCCAGGGTTTGCGTCAAGATGGGTTTCACCGGGTGTGCCTTCCTTCTCTCCCAGGGTTTCTTCTCAGAGTCTCACACCAGCCACACTCAACACCTGCAGTCAGACATTTCTGCGCGAGACCGGCAAGTCTTTACATGGTCCAGGGCTCTCTTTTTTTTGAGACCAGGGTTTGATGGGTACAACCTTCCCATGAGGTTGTATAGAAAAACCTGTTGATTCAAGTCTATAGTCTT